TAGACAGAGAACCATTGCCACGACCCTACGCTGCTAAACTAAAGCAGTACTACAATTAAAAACCCTTAAACACTAAGGACCCTCGTCGTCGAACATCCACATCTAGTCAACAGAGAGAAATGTCTCGACCACGTAGATAGGCCAAGGTACGGGCCCAATCTACGCCCAAACGACATAACGCCGTTCAGCCAAACGAGGACAAACGACGATGCCCGACAGGGACACCTCAATCGAGCTCCACTGTCGAAGTACCCACATGGCAGAACACCCAGCTCGCGATGGGTAGTTCACGCCACGGGCATACGACCTCGATCTGGGTCATACGCCCGAGCAAGCGGGCTTCACTCCGCACGACCGACGCATTTCGAAGTATGTCAGACCACAAAATGGGTCGAAAGGATCTCCACTCGAGGACACAACTTAGGCAAATTTCGCCACGAAGTAACAACCGAACACAAGCGTGGCTCGAGGACATAACTTAGACAGATTTCGTCACAATATAAAAACTTAGACACGAGCAAGTTTAAAAGTCAAAATGAACATCCATTTAAAAGCTCATGAGCAAAAACGAATAAAAATAAACCGACCAAAAAGGCCGGCGATGTTCGGAAATTACAGGCTATGGCACAATGGCCAAAAGAAATATGTACGGGCACGCAGGCCCCAAAACAAATACCAATAAACTGGCGCGCAGGCCCAACCAGAAATTCCACGACTAAACTTCCCCGGGACTACCAGCATCCACAGCAGGAGACTCAGGAGGAGGCACGACCTGGCCGTCAATGATCTGAGACATGAAACCCACTCCCTCGGTATTCATGCCCGGATTCAATATGGCGAGCTGGCTAACCGCGGCCTCAAACCCGTCCACCAAGGCACCGGCACAGTCTGTTTCGAGGAGATGGTTACGCGCGACCAGATCCGAACGGCTCTGCAAAGGGGCTGTATCCTCCGACTCATCTTCAGTAGGAAGCATGGCAGCTTTCAGCTCCTCGACTTCCTTAGACAAACGCTCGTTTTCAGCCTCCAAGCATTCCCTATCTAGTCGAAAACAATCCCTCTCCTCAGCAACCTTCCCGGAGTTTTCCTTCTCCACGGCCAGTAGCTCGGCTTGTTCATGGAACATCTCCTCAGATCGCTCAAGAGCAGCCTTCAACTTACGAGAGCCGACAGCGACAGTAGCTTTCTCCGACTCCAGTTCCCTGACGTGATCAGAGGAGTCTGACCCCTCCTCAGCAAGGACAACGACCATCTCAGCCATCTTCACCATCCCGACCATACTGGCGGCCAGGTGCTTTCTCTGACTTTCTTTGTTGAGCCGCCTGATGGTCTCGGCCTCCTCGTTGCTCACTGTCAAGGGAAACCCCTCGAAGAAATCTTCCTCTTTGAAACAGGGGGGTAAGCCGAAGGCCCTCGCAGCGACAGACTCGTCGCCAACCTCTGACCTATTATCTGCCCGACTTCTCTTTCTCGTGATCAGCTCAGTGGGCTGCTCGGCGTCAGGGGAGCCCGGGGACCCGCTGGAAGCATCGCCTGGATTGGTCGGCGGACCCATCCTCGTGGCCTGCGGAGCTCGCACCAGCCTTCTGTTTACTCTCTTGTCCTGAGTCAGTTTTAAAAGCCTCTCCCTTTGTTCAGCCATGTCGCCTGCAAAGAAGAAAACTCGGGTTAGTTGCGAGCAAGTAACAAACAACGAAATTGGAACAAAACTATAAGACAAAAGCAACCTAGTAGATCTACGGACTTCCCGTAGGATTGGCACTCGACGAGCGCCTTGGTATCGATAGGACGGGCCTCGAATGTCGGGTAACCTTCCTCGTCAAGAATATCTTCCCCCCTCCCTCGTGACCCACCGGGCAGGGAAGAAGTTGTCGACATACTTGCAAAGGGTACCATAGGCTCCTCATCCTCGACACTCATTCCTCCCGCGGGCGTATGGTAGTACCCAGTACCATGCTCGTAATGGCGCGAGCACCAATGTAACGAGAACTTGGATACACGCCCCATCGTCGGACGACCCTCAGTGTCCATGAGGGGCTCCCCGTTCTCGCCGACCCCCGCAGCTTCCTCTTCATACATAGAATCCAAAGCAGTCTGGGTGACCGGCTGCAGAACGTACCACTTGTCCTTGAAGCCCCGGACCGAATCCATGTATATCCTGAACAGCCTCTTCGACTGTTTCAGGGAAACCCAGTTATGCCTGCCTCCTCGAGACTGACGCTGCATGTGAAAAACTCTGAAGAAAAGAGGAATGGTCGCCCCGATCCTCAAGAAGCGGCATGTCAGCTCGAACGCTCGAAGGAAGGCGATCGAATTAGGATGAAGCTGCTAGGGGGTTAAGTCTAGATGGCAGAACACCCCGACTTGGGAATCACTGAAAGGGAGCTTAAGGCCGAGATCCCTGAACACGATCTCATACATTGGAAACCCATACTCGGTGAACTCCAAGCAGATTCGTGCATCAAGGGACGGCCTCGTCATAATAAAATTCTTCTGGAAACCCGGCTGACTACCGCCGTGTTCGACGATAGTGTATACGCGCCGACTACGCCGACAATACGCCGAGGCAATCCCTCGGGGCTCGGCGCCCACCCAATCCAATGAAGGATCATCGAAGGTATCAACTAGAGTCACGTTCTCTTCGGCACTTTGGTCCTCGACCTCATTACGCCTCGAAGACTCCGGTTCGTCAGCCATTTACCTGCAAAGCACAGGAAACTGATGAAATTCGAGAGCAAATCCGCATGCTCGCCACAGTGACGGGAAGTAGTGCGCGACAAGCCAGACACGCTCGACCAGACGTCGGGAACAACAAGAGGATAGCATGAACACCCCGCGCAATAAACATTGATGACTCGAACAAGATCCTGGTTTCGCCTCCCCGATGCTAAGATGCTACGACGAGTTGTCCCACATACTTCCTAAGGGGTCAACGTCCTGGCCAGCTCATGGGTGCGCCGACCTAAACTATGAATGTGACGGGAAATATCATGAATCCTATGCCTAGAACTATGGGTTTACCAGGCAGTATCATGGATTATGCGCCTAAAACCATGAAGGTCACGGGCAACATTGCGAGTCATCTACCTAAAGCTATGAGTTTACCGGGCACAAACATGAATATACTGGGCACTACTCCCAGATGTGGGTTTCTAACATCCAAATAACGTTAAAACTACCTATAACAAAGAAAACAGGAGAAATGAACACTTACTTGGAAGAAAAGAAGAATGGACGGCAGCAATGAAAGCAGTCAACGGATGGAGGTGCGGTAATCTTGCAATGTTGTAGAAAAACAACGACGGCGGAAACAGAGGAAGGAGGAGAAGCTGGAAGAAGAAAAACAAATTATGGGACCCAAGGATCCTATTTATAGGGATGACATGGAATACGAAACGTCGCCCCGGGGAGTCACGAACTTCCCTTCCTCGACACCTACACCCCTAGGCAATGATATTCCTACTGTCACTAGGGTGACGTCACGGTTCCCAAGGATTGCCTCGTGTACCCAACAAACACATCCCGTGAGGAATTCCCTGAGCACGCGTCGACAAGCGTTACGCTACGAACGCAGCCCGAGAGAAACTCCTCGAGCACGCATGAGGAAGCAATATCCTGGTCCGGCCATCAGACCCCATGGGAAAGGCGAGCTGAAGTCAAGTCATAACTCTTGCTCCAGGAGCAACGACTTGGGGGGCTCCTGTTCTTGACTGGGCCCGCCCTCGCCCAAAGCAGGGATAAAGGCCCAATCCAAGCAGGTCCTCGAGGAGTGTGCGCCCGCGGGTTCCCGCCACCGTGCCCGACCACAGACTGCAGTCACGCCCGCCATTGCCCGCGACACATGATGTCCCTAACCAAAGGAACCCCAGCTCGAGTCCTGCTCGAGCTCTCTCCTCGTAGGGAAGATTCTGTCCGCCCTAACCGTTATCGAATCATCCAAACTCCGGAAAGACCGCGTCTTCGTCCCTCCTCATTCTTCGCAGAGCATCACCAGGAAGGGGACCACGTGCGGGGCCCCACTACATACGTAGAACCTGGCAGTTTCTTTATTGGGTCAGTTATGGTCAGCCCAATGAGGGGACCTTGGCCCAGCGCTGAGGGCTATAAATATCCTTTGTTCCTAGAGGGCCAAGTATTCATCTCTTACGCATACATACACTCTTTACCTGCTCATTCCGTCACTCATTTTAGCATCGTAGTGCCTTGCAGGTACCCCCCATCTCACTCAAATTCTGCCCGAGCCAGTCGTGACGGTCCAAATCTAATCAGATAAGATCAGTTATGATAATTGATTTTAAAATCCAGTTATAACAAATGCATAAAAAATGGCTATGAATTGTTTATGGGAAAAAAACCATCTATGAGCACCCTTACTCACAGCAGCCAATATATAACTCGAACGTTTGCTTATAAAAGAGAGCAACTCTCACTTTACATATCAGTTTTATAGTGTTGTGCTTGGCCCAACATCATGTTTTAACAAACAAAAGAGTAATTGAATGTCTCATATATTAAGTTTGACACTTTAGTGTAATTTAATCCGGATTTTATATATATAATTTGATTATGAGAGTTTCGATGAGGCTAACATTGTAGAATGAATTTTTGTAGTAATTTGAGTCACACAACATTTTCCTTACCCAAGAGTTTAGCTTGTACATGAGTTGAACACTAGAGAAAACGTCAAAAGCATCAATAATTAATGTAATGGAAAATAATTTAATTGAGAAAAAGCAATCACAGGTAAAAGAAAAAGCATAAGATTCAATCAAAAGAAAAGAAGCAAGCACTTACCAAGAATATAATCATTAAAAAAGAAATGATAAATGCCATATAGTTATAATTGAATAAATACTCTGCGTTATTCTGACGCTTATTTTATTGAATATATATGAACACAAGCAAGCAACAAATAGTGTATTATGTCTCCAACCTTGTAATCTGGTTGTGTTCATGGTTCTCCATTAATTAGAGTTTCTCCATTTTTGTTGTATATCAACATGGGAAACAATCTTCAAGCTGTTAATCGTCTAAGTAAGGGAAATTTTCCAAGCTATCGTGAACAACTAGGAAGTTATGGTGCTGTTGATGTAACAAAAATAGAGCACGAGGCAGTAAATGGTCATACCGGTGAAGTATTCGATATGATGAAATGGAACGCAACTTACACTATCGACAACTTAAAATGCATACTCGATCTCAGAACAGTTTCAAACAAAGATGGTAAAATCAATAGTGTATCCTTCCAAGTTGGTGACGAAATGTATTCAGATGGAAACATTTGGTTTGCAGTAGGTAAAGACACGAGTTTACTGAACTCTGCCACACCTTCGATTTTATTAAATGGAGCCTTCAAAAATTGTAAGCAAAAGAATAACAAAACTACTAATGCTGCAGGTTTTGTTATTGAAACATGTGTTTATCTTTATGGGAATGGAAGCAAGAGAGGGTTTCTTGTGTTGGAAGAAATGAGAAATAGCAGAAACAATGAAAAGACTTGTAAGGTAACGGTGGCACACTATTACGCGGTTAGTAGTCGGAACGTTTTTAGTCAAAATAAAATCGATATCGGTCTCTCGGTGATTGTAAGTATTCAAGTGTCAAGTGAAGTTGGTTTGGATATTTCAGTGCACGGTCCTGCTCAACACCCTGCTAGAGCATTAAACTCCATGTATCATGATGTGATGAAAACTGGTGTTTGGAAGCTCACAAAATGCTCTCATTGTGCTAAAATGGTAAGGGATCATGGTGATTTAGAGAGTGAAGATTGGGATGACTCTGTACCATTACATGTTAAGGATGGTAAAAAATATTCACAAAGCATTATGGACAATGGTGGTGTGGTTATTGGAAACAATAATGGTAATATGCATGTGGAAAAATTTTATTATATCCTGAAAAAGTATTAGGTTTGTAACCAAATAAGGGGTTTTATTTAGGGTTTGTTGTAATTGTTGCATATCATTCCCGCAGTCCTTTGTAACATATATGTTTCAATTAAAATCAAAGAAGCGTTATCTTAAAGCAAATTTTTCAATGGGAGTTATAAATGGCATCTTATTAACGGGAATTTTATCATCCACTTGTATTTTCCCTTATAAATGGCATGCCAAGTATCTATTATCTCTTCATATTATTAAGAGCATCTTTGAGCATCTTTAATGAAAGAATTATTTTTTTTGGTTGCTTGAGTTATTTTGTTTGGGACCAATTGCCACAATGCATATTTAAGTAACATCTATGTAATTTAAATCAATTTTAGTTCAAAGGTGATTCTAATAGGCAATCTATATGTGATCTAATCAATTTATATTTGGCCAACTAATTATTAAAATTAAAATTATTTAATGATAAGAAACACATTTTTTGCGTTACTTCATGAAGCAACTTATACAAAAATTCAAGCAACAAAAATGCCACGTGTATCAACTCCAATGGTGAAAATGTTAAGTGTCATACCCAAATTTTTTACCTAAGAGCCCACCTTCATTTGCATTTTCATAAAGCATCGAGGTCACATGATTACAGTTGGTTTTTAATCCGCTCATCTTCGAGCATTGCTTATGAAGAGATTATCAATTATGGCGAACATTTTATTTTATGCATCACTAACTTCTAATCCCGTACAAAGGTGTATGTTTGTGTTTCTTTGGTATCATGTGCAGAGACAGGTCTGGATCAAGAGCATCAGGCGTTGCGTCTCAATTAGGATTTTTGATCCCTCAAGTATTCGAGTATGGTGAATCAACAATTCTCAAAGGCTACTTCATCAAAGTTTGGCCTATAATCAAAAGCACGGTTAAGATTTCATCATCACTGGTCCATATGTGCATCAATATGTTTGGGAATGCGAGGAAAGATCAAGTTTGCAAGTCGATTCAAAACACTTCGACCAAAAGTCAACTTTTGCAAGATTAAGTTCAAACGATCATAATTTCTTTATTATTCAATATATTTAAGTGGTTATTTTTTTGTATGACTCTCCTTGACATCATCTCAAACTTCTCTTTAGAAGTCAAGAGTTAATTATGTGCAGAAGATCATCGAAAATTCGAATACTTTATAGGTCATCTTTTAGACTTTGACCTAATCTCAAGATGACTCTTGTCCAACTTTCAAGGAACGTAACTCTTTGAATTTTCAATATCTTGAGACAATCCTTTTTGCGCATTGTCATGAAGAATGTCCTCTACAAGTTTTCTTTAAGAAGTGAAGTCGGATTGTGCTTAGAAGGCCTTGGGATTTATTGAAACATTATAGGTCATTTTCTTGATTTAAAGTTTTCTTGAGTTCTAATGACTTCGCAATGCCAATTCCTCAATGTAGTAACTTTCGACTCAAAAACCTTTTCTAGTGATCATTCAAGGCATTTTAGGTTTGATTTGAGTTTATATGCTTACATGACCTAAGTTGTTTTTATTTAAGGGTTATGAACAATTGGATTATTAATTTTGAAAAAAATTATTCATTTGATTTGTTTGAAATTCAAGATACAAGTCCAAATATCGGTTCTCTTCATTTATCAAGATTGACTCAAGAGAATTCATATATTTGGTTGGTGTGGAATTCAAAGTGGACTATCAAAGTATCATTCAATCCTAGTCATGCTTTGTGATATTCATCCAAAGAAATTCTTGCAAGATTCAAGTTTGCCCTTCAAGACTTCCAACAAAAATCATGAATTCAAATTTTGGCTAATCCAAGTATCTCCATCATTTTAAGTAAAGCATCGCAAGGATAATCTTCAAGATTACAATCAAACATATAAAATGGCAAACTTCACAAATTATTCAAGTCTCGTCATCTTATTAAGTTGGAATGCTACAAGATTACATGAAAAATCCTTAGCCTAAATTTAAAGACTTCATGATAATTCTTCAAAGTTTCATGCCATGATCATTTTTCTCCAATTTGATGCCAATTTTCTTGTCTAATAAGTAGTCAAATCTATCCACAAAGTTACACAAAACCAGTTCAAAAGTTCAATAGAAAAGAGAGGGGAAAATGCAAGTATTGTCACATGGAAAGATCAGAAAAATACAAAGTGGAAAGGGACTTCTCCATGACACTACACTCCAAATTCTGCTCCAATATGCTTGATGTCCTCCTGCATAATAAGCTCCAAAACCTGCTGCTATATTTGATACCCTAATGTTGTCCATTGCTGTCAAACTGTCCAAAAAAATATCTGCTACAAAAATTAGTCTGCTATCCTGCTCCAACCTGCACAAAAGCACCAAGCACATTCCTCCAATATTTGCACAATAATAGTTTAAAAAAACTACTTCAATAAAGCCACAAACCAGTATCCAGAATTGTTCAAACCTCGTAATGTTTCCCCCAAAAAAATTACATTAGTTTTGTCTTATAAATTGGCCTCATGTCAATAGAAAAAAGAAAAAAAATCTCAAAAAACTCAGAGAAATAAGCAAGGAGACAAAAACTCGACTAAGAAATATCAGAATCTTTCCTCCGAAGTATCACCGAAAACAATTCCAAGCTTCATTCAATACAACCTGCAAAGTCATTCAAAAAGCATCTCCCTTTCAATCTCCTAAAACTCATTGTTGTTGCCCAATACAGCCGCATCATACGCCCTCTATTCGATCCAAACCCCACAAACCCATCCCTTTGTGACTAAACAAATACACTTCAAAGTACCTGTATAATCTAATCTAGAACAAACAACATTAAAAAAGAAGCAGAAGTTTAAAGATGAAGAAGAAGGACATTTAGCTTATCACGGGATCGGCAACTCCGAGAACATTCGGAGTAAGTATCTTTCTGCAGCTATCCTTCTTTATTAGCTCACAACTTTTTTGTGAATCTATATTTGATCTATGAATCTTTGTGTATTCTTGGTATGGAGTTAATGATTGTTGTTGTAAAACAAAAAATCCATGAAAACAAAGAAAAAAATTCGTTGTTATTGCTTTAAGTGAGATTTTCTTTAGGATTTTGTAGGTTGTTATTAACATAAGATAGTGAAAGTATAAATTGGAAAACAAAACCATAACTAACAAAGATAAATAAAAAATTGGAAGCAGGGATAGTCGAATGTTGTAATCGATTGAAACAGCTGAAAGAAACTGCAAACCTGAAACCAAAATTACCGCTCCATAATTGGATTCGTCGAATTAGCTTCAATAAAATTTCTTGTATCTTGTTTCTCCACCGTTATTTCAAAATCCCACTTGCGTTTGCGCTTCCTGTGAATTGAGTTTGATAGGAACATAGTTGAGATAATAGATTGAGGAAACAATGTTTGAGGGAGGTGGAGATATTGTTCCACCATTGATATTGCAGAAGAAAGATCGAAAGAGAAGAGAAACAAGGTTTGGTTGAGAGGAAGGAGGGAGTATTTTCTCTTTTTGAGGCGAAGTAGAAAGAGATGGTGGAGATGATACGTTGAGAGAGACAGATCGTTGTTAGTGAGAAAGAGAGAAGATTTAACGTGTTATTGAGAGTTTAATGGGATTAATTGGGAAATTAAAAGGAAATAAATTTTGACCAATTCCAAAGAAACCATCGGTGCTTCACTCCTAGGATTAGGATTCCTAAAAACCATTCATCTCTCTTTTCCAAATTGGGCTGACCCATGGGTCTGATAACCCATATCTATTTTCCCTCGTTTCAATTTTAGTTTAATGAAGATATAAATATAACGAATGAGTAATTTGGTGTAGTGGTTGGAGTGTGGGTCTGGTATACATGAGGTCTTGGGTTTGAGACCCATTGAGGCATTTTTACCACTATTCTGCATATTTTATCTCCTTTTAGGCCAGTTATATTTTTATTATTTCCCCTTTATAAATATAAGCATAAATGCAACAACAAATAATCCTAGTGTGGTGGTAAGGCAATTTCTTTGCAATCTTAGGGTCTTGAGTTCAACCCATAATATATTTCTTAGTTTTTTTTGTTTATTTAGTCTTATTTAATTAAAATTCGTTAAAAAAAACATAATACAAAATATTTTATATTAGGTTTATAATTGTTTCTTTCTTTGTCTCATAAAAAAATTCCATAAATATATTAGTTTAATTTTGTTATTCTTTACTTTAATTAATTTTTTATTGTTAACTATTTAAATGATTTAAGTGTTATTTGTCTAAAGTTCTTTTCGATTATTTGATTTTTATATTTTTGTTTGTTCCTATTTCAAGGGAAAGAATTAATTAGTTGACTTCATGTCATCATTTATCTTATATGATTATGCGAAACCCCTTCATACATTTTTTTTAGTTTTGTTAATCTTAAGTTAAATCTCCTAAAATATTCAATTTTCAAACTTACAGTCATTTAAGTCAAAACTTCGAGACTACGTCATCGCATCTTCAAGATCTCTTCCCCCACACTCATTTAGCAAGAAATCCAATTTTAACCAAAAACAAATATATCAAAAGGTTCATATAGGATACTATCGATACATAGGGTGCTAGTACATTCCATTTATATAACCAAGTCCCGAACCTTCGATCTCCTTCAAATACATTGTATTTTCTTTATTTTTAGTATTGCACTTACTTTACATATTTATGGGTTTTTTTCGCACTTTTTCTTTTTTTCCTTGAAAACAATAAAGCGTGGTGGCGACTCTTGCTTTTGTGAGTCAAATTAATTAAACAGCTTGATCTCCAATTTTCACCGTTACACTAAACTCCGAAACTAAAAATCCGTCTATGTATTAAACAACCTCAATTGAAGATGCTCTTAAATACTTTATCTTTTTGAGTAGTTTGATTCTTCAACTTTTCCTTTTATCTGGAAATACTTGTCCTAATTAAAATTCATTCCCATCCCATTAAATGTGGATGCCATTGTCATTGTTCTTTTATAGTTACATTTTATTGAGCATATATAGGATGATCTTTTAGGATCTAAAAGAGTTGGGCACATTTAAAATCTC